GCAAAAAAAAAAAAAAGCGAGTGCCCAAACCTACTCCTAATAGGTGAACACTTCTCGCGTCGTTGTTTCCTTGCACCAACCCCTAAGTCACTCGTTCACACCCGGTTTGTCCTCTCTTTGCGGCGTCCTTCAACTGTCATTTGGGACACGTGTGTGTCGGTTTGGTTCTGCTGCTGCTGTGTTCTTTTTTTGACCTCGTCCACACCGAGTGGCCAACTTTGGCACGTGTTCAGACCAGCTACCACGCATCTCCTCCTCTACAGCTCGCGGCTTTCACTATCTGCATATCACAGAGGGTGTTCGTGTGTGGTTTGCAGACCACGACAGGGCGTAGTGAGGAGGGGCTCGCGATCGGCGACAACTCGCGTGCTAGTTCAATTATTCTGCTGCTGCTGTGTTCTGAGTGGTGGGGCATTTTGGCATTTTTTTCTACTTCTTCATTTGTTAACGCATACGCGCTGACAACAACGATTCGCATCAACAACATCGCATCAACAACATTTCGGGTGTGTGTACCAAAACAAAAGCAACGCATATTCACGGGGGGCGCACGAACCAACCTACTGCAGGTACTTTCCGCAGCACGGGTTATGCTGTTGTGATGGTGCGCGCGGAAAAAACTCCCCCCACTCGGGGTCTAGTATTCATGTAGAGTATGAGACATTAAGTTACAGTTTTCTGAGGTACATCTGCAAGTGTCGGAAGGCAAAAAAATAGGTAAATAAATGCCCCTAACAACAAGCGAAATAACGACGGGTTTGCTTTTCACCGATCGGAGTTTTCTAACGAGAAAATTGGCTGCTGATTCAAACACAAAAATAACCACATACGGTACTTCCCCGGGAGCAGAGAGCAAAAATATATTTATGAATACTGCTCCCGTCTACGAACGCTGCATGTACCTGCGGTTCGTTCGTCGCTACTTGTTCTGCAAGTCACACAACATACATGCAGCACGCGCCTCTGCCCCACTCTCACCTTGCATTGTCGGACATCTCAACGAGGAGATGATTGGCGCCGCCATTCCACCGGGGCTGGTCCACGGCGCATGGCCTTCCTACTCCTACGTGCACGAACATGCAGGCAGACTGGTACGTGTCCGCCAGCATCCCTTGCTGCGCCGTTTCGTTTCGCAGTGTAATTGACGCGTCCCGGCTGGCGTCTCGCCCTTCATCTGCAGCGAGCAGCTCGCTACTGTCTCGCAGCGAACACTCTCCATCGAAAACGTAGATCCCACCTTCCGATAGACACTCCGTAGAATAGGCTTCAAAGCAAGGTGGTGACAGAGGCGGCCCACATTGCATGCCCGTGGAGAAGACGGATTGGTCTAGATCCGAACACCGGTTGGCCTGTGGCCGACCGGACCAGGTATCAGCCCCTTCCACCGCAATGCTTGGTGGGTTTTCCGAAGGGGCAGCCTGGAGGAGACGGCCATGCTGCTGTGGCTGCTCTTGCGTACAAACTGCCGAAGTGGCCACGGCAGCGAACGGGATGAGAGTGTGGCACAAATGTCCCACCATATTTGCGTTGGCGCCTCCTGCGTTTCGCCCCCGCTGACTGCACCTGCGCTGGCTGTGCCGTGGGAGGGTGGGAGGCAGTGTGGCGACAACAGCTCGGGAACACGGCTGTTTGCCGTTGGGTCGTGATAGGCAACGAAAAACCCCTCAGGCAGGGAACGTTTGTTCTTCACATTCGGGGTATTGTTAACGACCAATAAATCATTAGATGTCATGCACATTCCCTTGATGCTACTGCCGTAGTCGAATTGTGGCGTGTGAGCGTGTAGTTCAGTTGTGAGCACGCAAACGTGCTGCAGGGATTGTAGGTGTACCTCCTCGGGCTTGTGTACCCTTTTCTTGCTAATTGAGTGTGTGTTCTTTAGATCTTCTGATGGCTCTATTATAATAGCATTTTTGTGACCACGGACCGGGTCTTTGCTAGATTTTGGGATTAGCAACTGACACGATTAATGTGAAGAAAAACAACAACGACAACAACAACAACAACTTGTTGCTGCTGGCCAAGAAATCATTTTGCGGAACGGTCTCGCCAGAATATGTTCTGGGCTAAAATGTTCCCGGCTGTGGTCTACACCCCGAGGTATGCATTCCACCCCTGGTCAAGTTCTGAGGTGGCAGCGTGAGCGGTGTGTGGTCCTGGAGGCTCGCCTGGCCTGGAATCGAGGCGAAACGAGCAGCCTCGATCTCAGTGGCGTCGATTACGGTCACTGCTTTAGCATTCCCTTGAATACCTGTATCACATCCTGTTGCGCACACGAGGGGTTGCGGAGAGTCTTGCCCGTCGCTGCCGCAATCATGGAGCTCGGGAGGACGGGCTGTTCTACGTTGTCAGGCTGAATAGGTGCTGGGCTGGACTTTCATCACACGGCACGTCATAGCTCGCTTGCCAGGCAACACCTCCGGCCAAGGCGAGCAAGCGCGAAGCAGCAAGATGTCGAGAGCATGCCCTACTTGCTGGATATAGCGTCAGCCAGTTTGTTGAAAGGAGAAGCCATGTCTCGGGCATCGAGGTTGCAGCAGCAGGTGCGTGACAAGCTTGTTTTTGTCTCTCTCGCCATCTGCCTACATACTTGTCCGCCTGGTGTGTCCGCCTGTGTTTTGATGATTAGCATCGACCGCGCCTGTGTGTGCGTGTGTCGCTCTTCGTCCCCTCTCTCGTCTCGCCGCACTCGCGCGCACCCCAAGTCTTCGTCTCGCATTGCAAGTCGAAGCATGGTTCGGGTGGTACTCACGATTCAAAAAGCTGATACCCACATGTGTGCGTCCCTTTTCTTGTATCAGGACCTCCGATTCTGTAGCATACATTTCGAAGATGCTGGTGTCACCGACGGTGCTGCTGTTACCCACTGCGTAAGGCAGCTGTAGTCTGCGTCTACATGTAGTTTGTACATGGGCACATACATGCCGAGAGTGCCACTGCTGTGTCCCCCAAACTAATGCTGTATCACCGAAACCTGCTGTAATCCGTCAGTCACGTCGGTAGAAGCAGTGGTAAAACGTTTGTTTTTTAGTGTACCATGTGCAGCAGTACACAAATGTACGACAGCATGTTTTTTCACTCATGAGTTGTGGCGTGTTCGTCCACAGCAGCAGCCATTCTGCCAGCGTGCAGTCCTTGTAAGACAGTATGTGGATTGGTTCGTACAGCAGTACAACGTATTCGTCAGAATACGCCCTATCACCCCTGCGACTGTTTTCAACACCAAACATGCGTGACCACGACACGAGAAAAAAAGGTACTTCATTTATGGCAGCACATTTTCACGTACATTGACGTACCGCTCTCTCTCGCCCACACGACAATTGCTGAAGTGCGAATGCTTCAATATTTCCGAAAGCAAGAATCGATTCAGGCAGCCCACCCCTTTGATTTTCTTCGTGCCACAGAACAAGCTTGCACCATCATCTTGATGCCGTTCTCCGCTTGTTTCGGTACAGGAACGCCTTTTCTGCTGTCCCACGCCTCAACATATTTGTGTGTCATCCTGCCCACGGTGTTGATTATCCTTGTCTCGAGTGTTTGCGCAACGAAACGGCAGATCGGCGCACCAGCAATATAGAAAACGATGCACAGCAATAATAGCAGTTGTTGTTGTTGTTTTTTCTCACATTTTAGCTCTAGTCCACAAAAAATGGGTAGCCCGTGGTCTCAAAACCCGGCACATACGACGCCGCGAGGAAACAAAAAAAAAACAAAAACAGGGTACAAACCACTCGAAAAAAGAAAACAAAATGATTGAAGAAAAGAATAGGTATCGCACCGACCGTTCAAGAAAAGAGCCCTCGGACACCGATCAATATAAAACAAAACAAAAATAGAGAGTTTCGGAAGATTTGCCGGAAAAGTTCACTTTCACTTTTATTGGGAACCGTTCCTGGGAAAGTTCTTGTTCATATAACTCCGCCTCCCCCCTCCTCCCCTCCCCGGGGGAGGCCGAGGCCCGCAAGTGCAGTTAACCCTCGAAAAAACCACCCAACAACGACGGATATACGGTCCCTAGCACCGTGTAGGAGAGGATCCTGAGTTTGGCGGTCGGGAGTTACCGCGGTCACGAGATCGAGGTAGGTCGTGATAAGCCAACTTGGAGACAGCTGCCGATGGGTTTGAACCCAAATGCCCCGGTTTGGACACCGGGGCAAGGCAGCGGTGGAGAGCACGGAGAGGGTGGCGGGATGATCGCACACCGTGTGGGTAAGCACCCAACAGGGGGACGGAAAGGGTCCAGAGCTGGAGAGCCACGCCGCTCCGGGACAGGAAGACACCTCGCTGGGAAAGGCAAGCACCGGGTTAACTCTTACATTAACCCGAGGATCCGCAGAGCAATAAAAACAAAGAAAATAAAAAAAGGAAGGAAGAAGAGGAGGAGGGGCCGGAAGGTGCGTAGGCTGATTAGGGATGCAGCACGCACCGCCCGGCAGAGGCGGCAGGGTCGACTTGTTAGGGTAGCAACCTACAATGTGCGTACACTGGCCGTGAACGGGGCCAACGGCTATGGGAGAGCCGACAGCGTCTTACACGAGGCAGCGATACAGGGCATTTCGTTTGTCGGTCTGCAGGAGGTCAGGAGACCAGGGCGAACGGAGTTCGCAGCATCCGGTTTTCGGGTGTTCACCTGTGGCACGGGCAAGGGTGGTACGCATGGCGTCGGAATCGCTGTGGAGGAGACGCTGTGCTACGAAATCTTAAGATCCCGCCATCTCGGGCCTACGGACAGCTTGAAACGGGGCAACGAAGCAACATACACCACACAAGACATACTTCCAAGTACAACATAAACAGAAAATACAAAAGCGTTTACACAAACATGTAAGGAAAACAGAAAAAAAAAATGTCCACAGGTCAAGTGTAAACACCTTCCAACGCATGCGCGTCCGACCCCTCCGGCCGCACTAATACATTCGCAAAACACGGGCGTAGACCATCACTCGGCACCCTGTGGCAACTTGTTGGTGTCGACGTCTCCCACTCGTTCGTCCTCCTGTCGGCCCGACGACCCCTTCGCAAAACACTCCCGACACCAGAAAAATCACGACAAGAGTCATCCTCCAACTACACCCCGACACGGGTGAGAAACTTCCCTCAGGCAACTACTCACTCTACCTCACTGTACATGACATGACGTAAGATATCACACCCCCTGGATCGATCTTCAAAGCTCGACTACATTACGCCAAGGCAGAAATAGTAGCCGTGCCGTCAATGGCGGCGTTGGCACCGCATGGTCGAGAGAGAGCTCTCCCAAAGCGTATTGTTTGATCTGTACATCCTCTTCTTCGTGGAGCGATCGAGCTTTGAGAATCCGGGGTGGTGTACAACGACAGCTATGCATACGATACTTTCATCTCCACGCATGAGATAATGCACAAAACTGTCCTCTGACCCACCACATGCTTGCCTCGCTGCTTCTTCGCCCAAGGAGCGCACGCCCTCGCTTATCCACAGGTTGTCGGGCGGGTTGTTTCCAACACACTATGTACAAGTACAACCAGCAGAATACGAGACGCACACATACTCCAGAAAAGAAAACTCGCTCTCACCGACCACACGAGGCCGTCAGAGTCATCGATGAGAGACTCTCCGACGCCGACCATGGTGTTCCCTATCACCATATTGTCGCGGGTCTCGGAAAACCTTACGCCGATTGAGGCCCCGTCCAGGTAGTTGTTCTGGAAGAGGTTGCCCGTGCACATACCGTCGGTAGAGGCGGAGGCGATGATCTCGTCCGACCCCAGGTACAGCCAGAGGGCCCCTGTAGGGTAGCCGAAAAAATGAAAGGCGGGGGAGGGAGGGGGGAAGAGTGAGGAGGCAGTGTTCTCATCCGACCGCAGGTACCATCCAGATTGGTCCTGGAACGTGAAAATGGAAGTTCAGGGGAGGGGGGGGGGGGGTCATGAGTCCATGGCG